GGTCAAAGGCCAAAAATTGGGTTTTCCCTTCTGATCGAATCTGTTTTGACATTCCTTGAAAAATTTGTGAAATTATTTAATATGAATCTTCATTTGTATGAGATAGTGGGTAGCCGTTAAGAAATAAATAATTGCTCCAAAACACCAGATATAATACAGAGATTTGAAACATTTATTATTGGTGAAAGCCTGGTTCTTGTTTGACAATTTCCGTCGTTTATTCTGATTTAAAATTATAGTTTAAGTTTCAATTTCAGTGTATTTAATATGAAAATAATACAAAAAATTGGGGTTATTGAATTAGCTTTGTGCTGGCGAGGACATTGTGTTACAAGTTTTGACAATTTATGCTAAATAAATCATTCCAAGACAACTGATTGGTATTTTAATAAGCATTAAACCTGGCGCCTTTCAAAGTCAACTACATATATTGCTGAAATGTCTTAAACTTGTTATTTTGTACAACTAAAGGGAGAGAAATCTACAGGTTATTCATACAACATGGTAGTGTAAACATCGATAAAAATGTACTTCTAATAAAATATCACAGTGTCGTATTTTATAATTATATATATACACGTTCAATTTAACACATTTTCATGTACATGTATTACAGTACGTAAGAATGAAAATGAGCTTGATGGTTATTGAAGCATGACCCACCCTCTCCCGTCCTCGCTCCCCGCACAATATTTTGGGCTTTGAAAGCCGTGGTCCTGAGGTTATAATTTTTTTCTTGATTTTCCATGGTTAGTGTACATTCTCAGTTTCTGACTTATCAAGCACATGAGATCTAAGTTTGGTCTGAGATAATTTCTTTAAAACCTCACACCCATGTTATATCACCGTCCTGCGGAGGATGGTTAGATTGTACAGGTAGCGCTCCAACAATTTTGTGAATTTCTGGGTATTTTACATTTAACACACGATTATAAGATATTGCTTATTTCTATAGGCGGTAGGGGGTGTCTGTTGTTCTTTATGTAGATTTTATATGTGCTGAAGAATAAAGGAAATCCGAACAAATCGGTCAGGATGTTAGAATCACATTTCCATTTTCTAACAATGGCGTGTACTCCTTCACATAACAAAGACTATTTAAAAAAAAATAATTAAATTGTTTATGTTTTCTAGAAAAGCATATAAATATCTATTATTGTACATTGAAAAGTACATTGTGTCAAACATATAGGCCCGCTTTGACATAACCAATATTGTAAATGTTTTGTGCAATTTCTGACAGGTCATCGATTTTTCCTAGAAATTTCATTTTTTATATCATATGTCACTTGAAAAAAAAATGCACGTAGAATAAAGACGCAATAATTATCAAAAATTATCAAAACCTGTTAAATTTTCAACACATAGATTACATTAGTAAGAAAACGAATATAAAATTATGTAAGTGTTATTTTAGCCTTGAGTTTATTCTACTGGTTCAACTATACATGTCATAAATTATACCAATTTTCATCCAAATTGATTAACAAGAAACATACATGAAAGACGGGGATTTGATGCATCACGTGAGCACTTACGGGCGATGATAATTTTCACTTGCCAAATATTGTATACACATGTCTCATTCATAATTTTGATGATCATTTTCACGTGCATGGAAACATTTTAATCATCTTTCTTGCTGTTTGTCTAACACAGTTTTACACTATCTTATTGAAATGCATCTTTGAAAATTATAACTTTTGGCGACGTACACTTAAATAGTTTGAAATACAAAATGTATACAGATGGGAAAAAAGTAGATATGATAAAAATAGAACTTTCATGATGTTCCCGCTCTGCTTCCGTAAATGCGCAACATTCGGAATTCCTACACGATTTTATCCGAAGTTTGACGAAAAGAGGTGAGAAGTTGTGATTGAAATTCGCAACTTTCATGCATATATTACCATTATAGAATTGTACGGTGTTCCATTAGGACCAGCGCGTTTTTCTTCTTCTGAGAACGGAAAGCACGACACATGACAGTTCGATGGTGAGAGTACGATGGTTACAGTACGATAGGACGATGGTTACAGTACGATGAAGAAACACGACAGTACGATGGTGATAGCCCATCGTACTGTCACCATCGTACAGTCTCACTGTCACCATAAACTCGTTTCATCTGAATGGAAAGCAAATTGGGACAATGCCGTCTTTAATAAACTTCATGATATAAACCCATCTCTTGATGTGTCACCATCTCTGTCTTTGTCAAACCGCCGTGATCAAACAGTTCTTCTTCGATGTCGAATTGGACACACTAAAGTTACCCATTCTTATCTCCTCACGAATGACAATGCCCCTTTCTGTGTAGGCTGTAATGAAAATTTTACTGTCAAGCATTTTCTTTTGGAATGTCATGATTTTTCACAGGCCCGTAACAGTTTTTATAATGTAACTCACTCAAAGAACTTCTTTAATACAATTCCATCAAAAAACATCATCGATTATTTGAAAGAGATAAACTTGTATTCAAAGATCTGATTGGCTCTTTTTTTATTTTTATTAACAACGTTTTACATAATAGTTTAAAGCCTATTTTAGCATTCGGCACGATATGGCCATTTATGTGTTGACGTGCCGTAAAATCCAAACAAACAAACAAAAACTTTCACCATCGCACTGTTGTTCGTGTTTCGGGCTTTTGGTTCTCAGAGAAAACGCGCTGGACCTAACAGAACATGCGTTACGATACTTTCTTTCTTCATGTGTACACATGCGATACTAACCATCTGCGTTTTTAAGGTGTCTGCCTCTCAACCCAGAGATCATGGGTTCGAGCCCTACTCGGGTCACGACCATGTTTCTTCATACGACACCAGTACTGGTTGGTTCCAGGAAGCGGACTCGAAAGTGATTAATATAAGTTACAAGAACTTGTTTCGCAATCGAGCTTAAATAAATATTTTTAAACCAACCATCTGCGTTATGGATGCGTTATAACTTTTAATTATAATATAAAAAATACATTTTATCTATTATCTAGTTCATTGCGCAGCATCGGTTTTACATGATATAACACAAAAACTGGAGGGTTTCTGTATTAATTATTCATACCTATGTGAAATATGTCATCTTAACATGACATGAATCATTTGTTTATGTCGATAAATTGCAAATTATTTCCAAATATATGTAAACTTCTTCATTTTTGCACCATATAGTTATTCAGTACATACGTACGTGATAAAGATAAAGAAAATACATGGATAAAATAAATGTGCCCTTTTCATCATGTTTATTGTCTACAAAACTCCAAAACGTGATGATGCAGTCCTAAACGATATGGTGGAGTCAAAAACGAGATGATAAGTCTAAAACGAAATGATGCAGTCCAAAACGAGGTGGTGCACTCCAAAACGAGATGGTGCACTCCAAAACGAGATAGTGCAGTCCAGAACGAGGTGGTGCACTCAAAACGAGGTTGTGCACTCCAAAACGAGATGGTGCACTCCAAAGCGAATGATAGCGCAGTCCAAAACAAGTGGTGCACTCCCAAAACGAGATGGTGCACTCCAAAACGAGGTGGTGCACTCCAAAACGAGAATTGATGCAGTCCAAAAACGGAGGTGGTGCACTCCAAAACGAGATGGTGCACTCCAAACCGAGAAAGTGCTCTCCAAAACGAGGAGGTGCAAGTCCAAAACGAGATGGTGCACTCCAAAACGAGGTGGTGCACTCCAAAAAGAGATGGTGCACTCGAAAACGAGGTGGTGCACTCCAAAACGAGATGATGCACTCCAAAACGAGAAAGTGCACTCCACAACGAGGTGGTGCACTTCCGAAAAACGAGATGGCGCAGACCAAAAACAGATGGTGCAGTCCAAAAACGAGTTGGTGCACTCCAAAACGAGGTGGTGCACCCCAAAAAACGAGGTGGTGCACCCCAAAACGAGGTGGTGCAGTCCAAACGAGATGATGCAGTCCAAAAACGTGGTGGTGCAGTCCAAAACGAGATGGTGCAGTCCAAAACGAAATGGTGCAGTCCAAAACGAGGTGGTACAGTCCTACACGAGGTGGTGCACTCCAAAACGAGGTGGTGCAGTCCAAAACGAGATGGTGCAGTCCAAAACGAAATGGCGCAGTCCAAAACGAGGTGATGCAGTCTCCCCAGAAATGATGATTTAACATAAAGAATTGACATCATTATCATTTTATCGAATTAACAAAATATCGTAGTTGACAAACAATTGACAGCGTGTCATACAGCAGAAGGTTGTCAGAATTTATATATATTGGGTTTTTAGCCATCCTGTGTTATTTGTGTGGCTTGTTGGACATTAAAACTTAAGGTAAGATTTATATTTATGTTTAATATTATTGTGTTATTGTCATTTTCTTGGGGTTCTCTCTAGCACTGAAAGTGATAGGATATTTATTGTTTTCACGTTAAAGCTGCAAGCTGCCTCAAGATGAGCCAAAATATTTCAAGAAAATTAAACCTGGGAAAACTGTACTAAAATTTTAAGATGAGTAAACAGATTAAAAATTCAAGTGGGAATTTATATCTTATGTGCAAATTATGACTTTTTTAAGTATTTATCACCATATTTCTACTGCGTTACTTACGCAATACAGGGGCTATTTTTTGCATATTTTGACCTCTTTTTTTGGTAATTTACGTAAATAAAAAATGCCGATTGCAATGTTTCAATTATTGTCTTTGTTCATTTACAATATTTTACTTTTCAAACATTTTTTCAAATTTTCATGAAAATTAGGATGAATCTGGAGGCGTGTTGCTTTAATAACGTATTTTATTTGTATTAAATAATAATTTAATATTTAATGATATAGAGCCTTACATATGTTTTGAGAAAGGCAGGGAGCTGTGTAAAGATTCCGTCAAAATTATGACAAGATTGATGAACACCATTGTATTGTTCGTACAATGTATTATAAATAATCGCTATAGATTCATGTCTCTGAAAATTTGATATTTTTATAGAATTTTACATAATGATATAATTAAAGGATCTCCACTAAGGTCGAACATATATTATTTGAAAATCTAACAAAGATCAACCCTAAGGCACTTAAAACTGAAAATAAAACTAGAATTAAATTGAAAGTCGATATTTAATGCGATTTTAGCCCGATTTGAGTTTTAAGCGTTTAAACGCTTATTTTGCTATATGTGTATGAATAGCGTCACATTAAATATCTTAAATGGACTTGCCCATCGTTCAATCTGGACAAAACCATATTATTAAATTGAGTGACATTTTCAAAATGTATGATGAGTGAACTGTGGTCACTGCAGATCATGATCAGACGGACCGGATGTGCCTGCTGATCTTGGTCTGCACTGTTCCCATGGAAAAACTGTTTTACCGCTATCGGAACAGAACAGAGTTTATTTCATAACTTGTACACACATAGGTACATCGTTATAACAAGCATGTTGAAAAATATAATTTTATGTCACATATTTTACAATATAGAAAAAAACGCATAAAGAAAAAAGATAAATCAATACAATACTGAGCAATGAGATATTTAATACATACAATGCAATACATCACATATGCTGACAAAACTCCATTAATCAATTATATATTTACTTCTGTAAATGAATAATGAAGAGCACTAAATCTAAGAATACTATAATTGTGTCTGTTTCCCCCTATAGTTAACTGTGGACCAAAGCATTCCAACTAATACGTGCTGTTACAAAACAAAACAAAATCAAAACAAAGAAAAATGGCTGGAGTTCCAGTTGCACTTGTTCTTTTGACATTGGTATGTTTATAACACTTATTAATTTCATTAAAAGTGTTTAAACAAAACTTCATTTCATTTATGAATTTTAAATTTAGCATCCTTTTCATTTATTTACTTTTGCCATAGCCTACCAAATTGAACATGCACGGTAAAAGTACTAAATTTAAGCACTTGATCTATCATTTTTATTACAATCAATATATCTATTTCAGTTCGACTAGTATCACGATGTAAACTTAAATACCAAATTCATTTCGTAATATCAAATTAGAACTTTAAATTTCGATGTGGCTGTTTAATTATTTTAAAGTCTTATTTTTCAGGCAATTATCCAATCGGTGAACGCTAACGCAGTTGATTGCGAGGGGAAAGCGTTCTTTGAAGTAAGTTCACTTGCTCATTATAAGCATGGTAGGATAAGCAAAATCGATTCTTTATGCAATAATTTTAATGCTCCTGACGTAAAGTTATCTATACACTGTAGTTAAATACGTCTATATCAAAGCTGATCGAATTAAATTACAATGCTACCTTACCATTAAGCTATAAATCTAGCTATTCTATAATCTTTATACCCCGTAACGATCCCCAAAGCCCACGCACCGCCCCTCTGTCATCTCCCCAACCCAAACACCACTCTCTCGCCTCTCCCTACCCACACAACGCTCCCTCGCCTCTCACCCACCCACACAACGCTCCCTCGCCTCTCACCCACCCACACACCGCTCCCTCGCCACTCCCCCACCCCACATACCGCTCCCTCGCCTTAATCCGAGCATATGAAAACTTTGTGCGTGTTTCACATAGGTATATTAAACACCATAAACTGGTTTCTTATATGAGAAACATAAGATGACGTATTTATTGGAACGGCAAATCAAAAGATGGTCAATAAGTAAATTTGTAATTTTATTATACATTCAGGAGTGTGGAGACGGTCTTAGGTGTATGTGTCCGAATCGTAATGTTATCACTGCATTAAATCCTGGAGAACCTCCCTGTCCAGACACTCTCGTCTGCAGAAGTAAGTTAAACATGCATACATCTCATTTGCATAATACATGTACATGTAATACAAAAACGTTTGCGACTGTTGGGCTCATAAAATTACAAGTTGATAGATATTTTTATTTTTTCCAATTTGGACAATAAAATAATAAAATAAAAGAAACTTACACAAGCGTGTTTCAATGTACATGTATATAATAATTTTTAATAATATATAATTATAGTCGTAGAAACGAAATATGCTTGTTAGTGTGATTTGTGAGAGACAATCTGTAGTATCATTTTAGATCAAACTCACACAAACAGGTGAAAATTCGAAACTGCCATTATATTATAAAGGTTAAAAAAGTGTATATCTGACCAAGAACAACACATGATGTAAATTAAATGTTTTAAAACAGCTTTCAGTAGCGGAAAATCCGGAGAAAAATTATATAAATGTATATGATGCAAGTGACAAAACATCCCCTGAATAAGCGTAAACTCATTGTCATGCTTGAAGGGTGCTACTTTTCTATACGTGTTTTAGTTGTATATTTCAATATTTCAGTTTTCTAATGATGTATATACTTCGTTTTCAGGGTTTCAATGCGCTGCTCCAATCCTAAGCGGTAGATTTGTAGAGCCTAAAAAGGGGGAAAATGGCGAGTATTTGCTTTGCGATAAGGATGAAGATTGCGGAAAAAACTTCAAGTGCGCGGGGATTTATTGTTGCCGGGTGTATAGAGGAAAGCTTTTCTAAAGATAATAACGAAAATTTGCAAGCTTATGAAATGAACTGACCGAAATGTTATGAGAATTAAAAATAAAAGATACTGGTTGGAGAGATAACTCCGACACTTGCTAAACATTGTTGTTATTTAATAAACAAGCACATGGCCACCTAGTAATACTGGAGCAAGAAAGACATGGGTATTTTTCCACCAAAGGGATACGATTCAAAGTTCTTGTAATGCTACAAGTGAAATAAATATCTAAGGTCTGGGTCATGTAGTTCCACACTAAATTGAAATATGACAACGTAAATTAAGTTTAAAAAAACGAAATGGTAGATAAGTACATGTACAAGGTTATGCCACATTCCAAACTATCTTTTGCTCCAGGCATTGTTGTTTCTAAAGAGTAAAATTTATAAAGATTTTTTTGTTTATTTTTAACTCTTTGTGTCCTACATATATTAGACTGGAGTCATTTCTATAACTTTTATAATGGGTCACCTACAGATTATTCCTGTAAAGTTTGGTAAAAATCTTCCATTTGGTTTTAAAAAAAACCCAAAAAACATTGGTAATGATGCACAAAGGACGTCATACCATGATGCACAAAGGACGTCATACCATGATGCACAAAGGACGTCATACTATTACGAAAGCATGTCTCTCAGGTGAGCATGCATGGTATATACAGACAGACCTGGCTCTATATTGGTTGCAACATCAGTGATAAAAATATCAGGGTTTGTTGAAACAAGTCATGTATACATGTATATATTTCTTGTTCCACAGGATAGCAAACAATGACACTTATATTGTATGACATGTCTTTCTTTAATGTCTAATATAATATTGACTTTTCTATCAATCTAGAACTGCATCAACATGACTGTATGCTTGTATCTCCCCTCATTGACAAATACAAGATGGCCATGATAGCCCTATATAGCTCACCTTAAGGTAGAACGCGACACTACGAACTTTCGAGTAGCGTTTTGAAAATTGGCATGTAAAAAAGTGACCATATTTCAGATTAGATTCCATTGTTTTTATTCCAATAGTTTTAGCTATTTTCTGTACACATGACGTCAAAGTTGACCACCATTGAAAACCCCTTTTGGAACTTGACGTCGTTGTGTATCCATGACAACTTTTATGGGCATCACAGCGCCATAGCCGGACAAAATATCATAAACTCTATAATATTTAAGGAAATTATTTTTTCCTTTATGTATCGTTCTACGCAAAAAATATTTGAAAAATGGAAAGAAATTGTCGTTCTATTTGACGTTCAGTTTAGCCACATTTTTTCGCTCTAAAGCCGCAGTTTGACTTCCAGTAAAATTTACACGAAGAACTGATTATAAGAAGAATTTTCATTTGTCATTTTAAAATTACAAACTGAAATCTGGAAATCTCATTGGATATTCTAAAATAAAATGTAAATGAAAGTTCAAAATTGTAAGGACAATTCTAAAAAAATGTAAAGGATAGTTCTTGTCATTTTTAAATAAAATTGTAAGGATAGTTCTAAGATAAACTTTCACACAATTAATATGGTGGGTTGGGATATGCAAGTTAACCAATTCAATTTCGGCTGAGTTGTTTTATTTACATAACAATATATAATTCATTTATGTATGATCATGTGGCAGAAACGTTTTCTTGTGCATGGCTGTGCTTTCCACAGTTTTATTAAACAAGAGGGCCATGATGGCCCTGAGGTCGCTAACCTGTATATAGGCCCCCCCCACCCCCAGGCCAATTTTTACCCAAGGGCTTTTATTTGTTTATTTGAACAGACGTGGTAGACACCCATAAGAAGATGTTTCATGTTAAACATCTAAGTTCTAGCTCATTGGGTTTTTTAAAAGAAGATTTTTAAAGTTTTTACTTTACACATATAGTTAAAAACAATGACACCCCTGGGGCAGGGCCAGTTTTGACCCCAGGGCTTTTATTTGAACAAACTTTGTAGATATCTACTTAAAGATGTTTCATGCTAAATATCTTAGCTCTAGCTCTTTGGGTTCTTTAAAAGAAGATTTTTTAAGTTTTTACTATATGCATATAGGGAAAATCTATGACCCCCTGGGGCGGGGTCAATTTTGACCCCAGGGCTTTTATTTGAACAAACTTGGTAGACATTCACTAGAAGACGTTTCATGCCAAATATCTAAGCTCTAGCTCTTATGGTTCTTTAAAAGAAGATTTTTTAAGTTTTTAATTACTATATGCATATAGGGAAAATCAATGACCCCCAGGGGCGGGGCCAATTTTGACCCCAGGGCTTTAATTTGAACAAACTTGGTAGACACTCACTAGAAGATGTTTCATGCTTAAAATCTTAGCTCTAGCTCTTTGGGTTCTTTAAAAGAAGATTTTTTAAGTTTTTACTATATGCATATAGGGAAAATCAATGACCCCCTGGGGCGGGGCCAATTTTGACCCCAGGGCTTTTATTTGAACAAACTTGGTAGAAATTCACTAGAAGATGTTTCATGCCAAATATCTAAGCTCTAGCTCTTACGGTTCTTTAAAAGAAGATTTTTAAAGTTTTTACTATATGCATATAGGGAAAATCAATGACCCCCGGGGCGGGGCCAATTTTGACCCCAGGGCTTTTATTTGAACAAACTTGGTAGACATTCACTAGAAGATGTTTCATGCCAAATATCTTAGCTCTAGCTCTTTGGGTTCTTTAAAAGAAGATTTTTTAAGTATTTACTATATGCATATAGGGAAAATCAATGACCCCCTGGGGCGGGGCCAATTTTGACCCCAGGGCTTTTATTTGAATAAACTTGGTAGACACTCACTAGAAGATGTTTCATGCCAAATATCTAAGATCTAGCTCTTAGGGTTGTTTTAAAGAAGATATTTAAAGATTTTTCTTTTGGTTGCCATGGCAACCAGAGTTCTGCATGGAATTAAATTCTTTGAACAATTTTTAAAGGTGACCACCAAAGGAACATTCCTGTGAAGTTTGGATGAAATTGGCTCAGTGGTTTATGAGGAGATGTCATTTAAAGCAAAAGTTTACGGACGGACGCCGGACGCCGGACGGACGGACGCCGGACGAAAAGCGATCACAAAAGCTCACCCTGTCACTTTGTGACAGGTGAGCTAAAAAGAAGAACAATACATATTCACATTTTATAGATATGTCAAATTAATTCTACATTTGTATGATTAACAGTAGATCTTATATTCATTGTATAAATTACATTTTGCAATAATGCGTTCACAACATTAGCCCCAACATACACACTGAAAATATAGAAACCAGTTATTACCTAACATCTTACTTTTCTTCACTTTTCAATTTTATAACTGCTTTCAATATAGACTTGCTCAGCCTTTTTATTTTTTGAACTATGAATGTTAGAGACATCAAGATAAAAAATTTAAAGTCAGCTGAAAGTATTGAGTCCTGTCAGCCTACATGGATGTGCTGGTTGGCCTGACACTTTACCAGTGGCAAAGATTTATCAGTTTGGTTCCCCTAATGTAAAGCTTGATTAAAAGTTTATCATTTTAACAGTCTTTAATATATACACTCGTACCATTGTAGTATAAATTTCTTTGAAAATCTTATTAAATTATGAGCTATTATAATTCAACAGAATACCGATTTCTTGGGTACTTAATCATTTAGTAAATTGTAATTATAATAACATGATATACAATACTATTTCAGCTGACTCTTACTATCTTCACAACAACTATATTTTACCACATACATGTACCACTTTTTGCAACTCCCTAAATAATGGTATTGCACTACTGTGCATATATTGATTAAGAAATAATATATCCCAAACTGTGAGTTTATTGCTCAACAAGCAGTGATGTTATCAAGCAATAAAATCACCGATTTGGATATATTATTTCGATTCTAACACGACGCCAACAAATAAATGCTGCCGTACCTGATAATTAGCTAAATTGCTCCTGATTTGTTTCGGTACTTATTGTCAGCGCGTCACATTTTTAGTGGTTACGTCACGTGTATAATGATTACGTCACATGTCTAAATATAGAACGTCAAACAGTGATTTTATAGCATAATAACACACACTTTCGGTTCTTCTATGTTCAATAGGGCAAAATGCGGGTCGGTTAGAATTATATTTTGATGTGATATCACTTGCATTATAAAAACAAAGCTTTTAAATGCCTTAAATGTATTCATTACACTATGAGCATGTCAATGCAAAACATATCCATTGTTGCTGTTAACAGTTCTTATCTAATGTATGCAGTAAATATTATATCATTGTATCATATTATGGTAGCTTCATTAATAAATATTGAAATAACTCAATAAAACAATAATATGCTTGCCAGACACTTATATAATATACATGTAACTTTATACAATTTGTTCAATAAATTCAGTACTGAACCTACTCTCATTCAATATCCTCTATTCAATTTAACATGACTCAGTACAGTTTTGCACTGCAATCTTTAGATTTGTGAAAACATATTGAATCCTACATTAAAATTCACATTAAAATACAACAGAATGTTGATAACATAATTTCTCAGTATTGAGTATCTACAATATTATGAATGAAAACAGTTTATCTTTACTTCAAGTACACAAAAACGTTTCTCTGAGAGTCTCACTCAAGAAAATGTCTAATTACACATGTATAACTTATACTTCAAATCTGTATATTTCACATTTCATCTACTCAATTTCGAGAACAATTGGATTTAAGAGACAGCTCCTGGAAGTGTATTTCCATGTTTATTTTTGTCTATATTGCACTGGTCATCAACATGAAAGTAAAATGGTATCTCAGGTAGGTCTGTCATCACCTCGCATTGCTCGATAGTTTGCCATCTCCTTCGGAAACACATCACTCAACTCTAGAACCAACAACGCCTTGAACTTCTACAAATAAAAAAAGGGTACCCCTAAAATACGCAACGGAGATTTTTTGGCGCAACGGACGCAACGGGCGCAACGGAGATTTTTTTTTTAGAAAAACCTGCACAACGCCTTTTTTATAGTCAATGTGCTATATTTAAGCATCTAAAATGATTGTTTAGCACTATTAAGTAAGTATGTTTTAAAATGTTTCATAAATTGTATATGTTTAATTGCACTGAAGGGTTATATGCCTGACGAAATGGAAATTTCATGGCGCAACGGAGATATTTTTTTAGAAAAAACCGACACAACGCCTTTTTTAAAGTCAATATGCTTTATTTCAGCATCTAAAATGATTGTTTAGCACTTTTAAGTAAGTATGTTTTAAAATGTTTCATAAATTGTATATGTTTACACTGAAGGATTATATATGCCTGGCTAAATGGAAATTTCATGGCGCAACGGAGATAATTTTGGAAAATCGGCACAACGTATGTACTAATATATGAAATTAATTAACACCAATGTTATTTGAATAAATAAATTTATAAAAAAAGATTTAAAAACCTTAATTGTATATCAAATAGCTGCAGTGTTGATGTTGTAAAGGAGTGTGTGTCGGCGAAATTGACATTTTGTCGGCGCAACAGAGATTTTTTTTTTTTTGGCGCAACGGAATTTAAAATGGCCTAATTAAGTAGTAATATGAAGAAGTAAATCATTAAAGATATTAACTGAATTTCTGAAGTGGTGTAATAAAAGTCTGTTTTATTAATTTAAAAATGGAATTAAATACGTTTTTATCGTTATGGCTGACACTGAAAAACAAGTATGGATATTTACAATCTGTTTCATTTTTTCCCGTTCAATCCGTTATGTTTACGAAATGTACTGTAATAGCTTTTAGAACTATACATAATTTTCAGAATTTTACTTGAAGAATACGAAAAGTCCGTAATGCATACGCTGTGGACTTTCTAATGTAATCTTAACAATAAATTACCAATTTTCAACAAAAAGCTGCTTAATGGCTTTACTGCTGCACAAAGAAATACGTTTATTTCCGTCATGGCTGATATTTGAAGATAAACATGAGTCTTTAAATCTGTTTCTTTTTTCCCGTGTATTACGTTATATTTACGTTAAATATTGTAATGACTTTAATCAATGACATGTAACACTGAAGAAAACAAATTCATATCTTTATTCAAAAGATTTGTATTACAGCGCTTAATTACAACACGTTTACCATGAAACGTTTAAATTTGATCCTATAATTTTTTAACTGTAAAAATTATTTTCTTATTTCTGCTACCGGGAATATATAAGCAAATCACTTTATTAGTTAAAAGCATGACCAGTAGCAAGCAATTTGCTAACCATATTACATTATCTTTTTAGTAATGATTGAACTATTTTATGCATTTTTAAAATTAAAAATAGTAACTATACAAAACATTAATTGTTTGATGAAATTATTAAAATAGTAAAACGACATGCATGTAGAATTTGCTGTTCTTTCTATTTCCATTTTAAAACAGTGAAAAAAAAATAATTAAATTGAACGTCACTTACCAATCAGAAAACCCCGTTAAAATCAAATGCAGCTACTGTTTATTTAGCGAAACAACAGCAATTTGGTGATTTGAAGAATGTTTATCACGGGTGTTAAGTACCGATAATTAAATTACCAATGACACGTGGTTGATGTTTATTGGACACGCATTTTCACACCATTTAGATAATGTAAGAGGAACATGTATTGACTTTAAGGTATTAAGTACACAATGATTAATGAAAGATAATAAATTAATAAAATAATATGATATGATAAAACTGTTATGATAATCCCCGTTGCGCCGAAATAGTCCATTTCGCCGTAATTTAAATTATGTCCATTTTGCCGTCCATTTAGAATATGATATATTCAGTATTCTACCTTATAAAATCAAACTTATACAGTATATGTAAAAATTATGTATAAAATATCAACAATACCAACTTATATGATTATTTTATGTTTTAGACATAAAAAAAACAGTACACAGTTTTGAAAATAAAATCTCCGTTTCGCAATAAAACATCGGCGCAACGGAGATTATGAGAGGTATAACAACAATACAATGAATGTTTATAATACAAAAAAATACTGAACATTGATTCTGTAATATCAACATATGACTTTATTTAGTATATACTAATGCAAATTCAATTAAAAATTATGTATAGAAAAGCTATTACAGTACATTTCGTAAACATAACGGATTGAACGGGAAAAAATGAAACAGATTGTAAATATCCATACTTGTTTTTCAGTGTCAGCCATAACGATAAAAACGTATCTAATTCCATTTTTAAATTAATAAAGCAGACTTTTATTACACCACTTCAAAAATTCAGTTAATATCTTTAAATAATGATTTACTTCTTCATATTACTACTTAATTAGGCCATTTTAAATTCCGTTGCGCCAAAAAAAAAAAAAAATCTCCGTTGCGCAGACAAAATGTCCATTTCGCCGACACACAATCCTTTACAACATCAACATTGCAGCTATTTGATTATTTGATATACGATTAAGGTTTTTAAATCTTTTTTTTAGATTTATTTATTCAAATAACATTGGTGTTAATTAATTTCATATATTAGTACATACGTTGTGCCGATTTTCCAAAATTATCTCCGTTGCGCAATGAAATTTCCATTTAGCCAGGCCTATATAATCCTTCAGTGTAAACATATACAATTTATGAAACATTTTAAAACATACTTATTTAAAAGTGCCATAAACAATCATTTTAGATGCTGAAATACAGCATATTGACTTTAAAAAAGGCGTTGTGTCGGTTTTTTCTAAAAAAATATCTCCGTTGCGCCATGAAATTTCCATTTCGCCAGGCATATAACCCTTCAGTGCAATTAAACATATACAATTTATGAAACATTTTAAAACATACTTACTTAATAGTGCTAAACAGTCATTTTAGATGCTTAAATATAGCACATTGACTTTAAAAAAGGCGTTGTGCCGGTTTTTCTAAAAAAAATATCTCCGTTGCGCCCGTTGCGTCCGTTGCGCCAAAAAATCTCCGTTGCGTATTTTAGTGGTACCGATAAAAAAACAATACATTGATATATTTCCTTTCTCATTGGTTAAATCTGGCAGGCTTTTCTAATGAAAACTGCCGGCTAAATATTTCAAGTATTATAAAATGATAACATCTATTGATAAAATCTGTAACTGAAATATCTAGAGAATATATATTATATGTCAAAGAATGTCTGTAAGAAAGAAAACAATGTAACAAGACATACATGACAATTAACTGAATTCTCAAACAAGAGAATGCAGGAATTATCAAATTCACAGAGTGAAATAATTCAGTAAAACAAGCTATGCTTCTTGGCATCAATAATGACGTTGAATACAAGTTTGAAATGTTAAGCAAAGTGCTGCAAATAACAAATATTTGCTGTAAGTACAACATTGGTTCTACATTATCAATTCATGTTCATTGTATCATTTCAGGGTTTACAAAAAATTATTTTACAGGTAAAATTTGACTGACCTTTTGATATACCAGTCTAAACTGACCTAAATACATTAATCTTTACAAATTGGACTAACTGCAGATTATCAATTTTAACAATAATAAATTCTATAATTAGAGAAGGTAACATACAAAGTTTACACCAAAAATAATAAAGCTTCTTTGTTCTGTTAATATGTTACATGTTATTTACCTTGAATGCATCAATTTTTCCCTTCACTTGTTCATTTTTCCCCAGAGCTTTCTCTAAAAGTGTAATATGTTACATGTTTTTTACCTTGAATGCATCAATTTTTCCCTTCACTTGTTCATTTTTCCCTAGCGCTTTCTCTAAACAGTGTAATATGTTATATGTTATTTACCTTGAATGCATCAATTTTTCCCTTCACTTGTTCATTTTTCCCTAGAGCTTTCTCTAAACAATGTTTTGTGTACAAGTTGGGATTTTTGCCTTGGTCAATATACCTGTAATTCAAGTACATGTATACTTAAATTAATATGAGCCGTGTCATGACAAAACCAACATAGTGCGTTTGCGACCAGCATGGATCTAGACCAGCCTGCGCATCCGCGCAGTCTGATCTGGATCCATGCTGTTCGCTATCAGTTTCTCTACTTGTTATAGGGTCTGTAAGCGAACAGCATGGATCCTGATCAGACTGCGCGGATGTGCAGGCTGGTCTGGATCCATGCTGGTCGCAAACCCATTATGCCGGTTTTGTCATGACGCGGCTCATATTATGTTAAATGGTAATAACTTATATATCTTAAAGTGCAGCCTCTGCAGCTCTGACAAACTATACTGTTGGTGTCTAAATTTGGCATCATTTGAATATTGAAATCTAGACATCAATGTTATAAGTTCTAAATTGAGTCAAGTCTGTTTAAAAAATAGCTGAAAAATGTTTAAAAAGTTTAAGAAAAAATAAATCATTTGTCAAAGACTTAGTAATAATTAAAAAAAATTTAATCCTCCAACCATTTCATTCCTGATTTTCTTAATTTCAAAACACTACACTAAGGAAAGATTTATACAAAACAAAGAGATTTTAACTTTTCCATGGTAGAATTACTTCTACTCTCAACTTTCTTACATAATTTTTTATGACATAGTTGACAGAACAAACTTACTCAAATACTTCAAGAGGAACATGAACATCTTGCATCTGTGATTTCATCTTGTCTATCTCCTGTAACCCTTGTACCATTGTCTGTCTGAAATATAATAAAGATATCAGGTACTTAGCTTATTTTCATAACATATACATTAAGAATAATTATGAGTCAAGTCATGAATATTGGGAAAATATGTCACTGCACAAATAAATCAGAATTCTTAAAGGCAAAAAGATCACATGGATGGATTACTAATTATAAAACGAAAATCTTTTTTTTTCTATTTTAAATTTTTTAATATATGGATATAATATTACATGAATAACAAGATTAAACAAATTTAAGGTGCGACTAGCACCTTTGATTTTAATCAGTGTAGTAAATCTGGGACAACAAGCAACTACTAACTATAGACAAGCATACTTTACTAATTATGATGCCATCAAACTGACTTTCAATCAATCAATTGATTCAAACTGTTGTTACTTAAAGTCTGTACATATGGTCATACATACTGAAAATTTAAACATAATAATCAAAGTGTCAAGCTTGATTAGCCTTAAACAACACATTTGGGACATGATACATACATCAAAGACAGTCACCTAATTTCGTGGGCAATACTAGATGTCCGGGACGTTATGCAATGTATGCATATTATAATGGGAAAAGCAACAGGAGATTAGCACAGCATTATTTTTTCTTACAATAAGGTGCACTCTCTGCCAATTATAATGTGTATTGGCTTGAACAGACTGTCACTTGAATGTTGTTATAGACTGCTTATCTAGCTGGTAGTTGCCTGTCCTGTTGTCAACAACAAATGCAAACTGTGTTTAAATGAGAAAACTAATTGATTAAAGACTTTAAAAGTATACTGTATCCAGACTCACTGTCAAAGACTTTTTCTGTCATTTTCATAAAAATATTGAAATAACAGGCTGTGCCACTTGAGGGTCAAACTCTATCTCTCAGCTTGAATTGCCCTGATTAATGGTCAATAAAAAACTGGCTTAGTGTCTGCAATCTTCACATATATATTTGAGACTTGACAGTAAATTATTACTGTATCATTGAATAATGAATCATACATAGACCGTTTGAAAAATGGCAGATTCAAGTCAGGGGATAGGGCCTGATCCTCAAGAGTCTGTGAATCTACTAGTTTTAGCAAAATAATAAGGCAAATTTTGGGTAAATTATAATATGAAATTAGGCAAAGCCTATGCACGGGGAAGTCGTTAAAATTCCTTTCATTCTTTCCGTTTTAAAGGTGTCATTCGGCATTACATGCACCGCTTCCGTTTTCACTCGGAACACTCGACGTTTATTATTTATCCGAAAAGTTGAGATTTGTTCCGTTATCGGAATACCCCGCCTATTATCATTGAGTTACATTGTAAATGGCGGCGCCCGACTAGAACTGACACTGAAAATTTCATTAATAGGTATACCTGTAGGATGATTTTGGGCTCTGATGGAAGGGCCAAGCCCTTTTTAAGCCCCTCTTCTTTTGAAAATCTTTCAGTACTTCTTCTTATTGCTCTCACCACTTCTATGTTAAATTATATATACTTTTATCTACTTCTGTTCACTCTGCTATACAATTATAACAGCATAATTTTTCAATAAACATTTTAAACTTTATATGGAGTGTCTCCGGTCCAGTGTTGATCTAGTTTTATTTTAAATTCATGAACACTTTTTGAGTCTACTACATTTTTTGGCAAATTATTCCATGTTTTAATTACACGTCTTGAAAACTGATGTAGGCAATGAGTTGTTCTACTACGAGGCATTTCTAGTTTTAAATTATGTCCCCTTGTTGATGCCGAATAACTAAAAAAATTTTCAAAAACACAGTCATCTAAGCCTTTTACTATTTTGAAAGTCTGAATCATGTCCCCTCTTAATCTGCGATGTATCAGACTTGGCAGTTTAAGCTTTTTAAGACGGTCAATATATGTCAGATCTTTTAATGATGAAACTAGTTTTGTTGCTCTTTGTTGAAGTTTTTCTAGACTTGATATATCTTTTATTAAATATGGATTCCACACAACATTTGCAAATTCAACATGAGGACGAATCAAAGCTGTATACAATTTCACAAAGGTGTATTCATCTAAAAATTCAAAAGACCGGTTAATAAGGCCTAAAATACTATTTGCCTTATTAATCTTTGTAGAAATATGTTTGCTAAATTTAAGATCTTTTTCAAAAATAACTCCTAGATCACATTCTTCTTGAGTATCCGATAAAGTCTTGTTATTCATAACATACTGTTTTTGAGGATTTGCATGACCATAATGCATCACCTTACATTTATCAACATTAAAGTTCATTTCCCATTTTACTGCCCAGTTCATAATTGAGTCAATATCATTTTGGAGGACATCCGACTTGCTAGTTGGTGTATACAATTTTGTATCATCAGCAAATATTTTAATGCTTGATTTGACATTATCTGTGATATCATTCACATACACAATAAAAAGTACCGGGCCCCAACACACTACCTTGCGGCAGCTCCACTATCCACTGCTTTCCACAATGACGTACTACCTTTAATTGATACACACTGTCTTCTATTGCAAAGAAAAACTTTTTATCCACATCAATACATTTCCCTTGATTCCAAAAGATGACACTTTATTTTAATAAACGTACATGTGGGACTTTATCGAAAGCCTTTGCTAGATCAAGATATATGGTGTCCCAGCTTTGATAATTTTCCATATAAATATTCCATTCTTCTAATACATTTAGAAGTTGTAAAGCACAAGACCTTCTTGTCCGAAAACCATACTGATTGTCAGATAATAATTTATTTTCTTCAATATGTTTCATAATGTGCTTTCGAATAATTTTTTCCAAATGTTTTACACAATATTGATGTTAGACTAACTGGTCGATAGTTACTAGGATTTGTTTTGCTTCCCTTTTAAAAAATTGGCTATACTCTTGCATCTTTCCATGCAAGTGGAAGTTTTCAAGTGACTTTCTAAATATAGCGGTTAACAGCCCAACAAAAACATCAGCCAGACTCTTTATTATGTATGGGTGTATATCATCTGGACCCATTGATTTATTTGGATCAAGTTCCTTTAATAAATTCAACACCTCACTCTCCGAGATATGTATATCATCAAGGTCTTTTAATACAGTCTTATCTTTCATGTTAGGTACACAGTCCAAATTTTCTTTTGTAAATACTGTTGTAAAGAACTCATTTAACAATTCAGCCTTTTGCTGGTTTGAGGTTGTAAAATTACCATTCTCGTCTTTCAAATTGAAAACACCATCTCTTGATTTAGTCTTGTTCTTAACATATTTCCAAAAATGTTTTGGTTCTGTCTTAGCTTTGCGTGATATATCTTTCTCATAACTTCTTTTAGCATTTTTAATAATGTCATTTGCAGCATTTCTTATACTTTTGTATTCATCATAGTCCTCATGGCGTCTTGTTGCAAGGTACTTATCCCATGCATGTCTTTTCTTTTTAATATGTTTGAGGGTTTCCCCAGTCATCCAAAGTGGTTTCGGTTTAAATCCTTTCTTAGGTTTAGACATTGGAACATATTTATTAACACATTCATAGAACTTATTTGAAAATATTTCCCACATTTCATGTATATTACAATTTTCAAAAAGCAAAATCCAATCTAATTGCTGCCATTCATTAGAGAATCCTAGTAAGTCACATTTTTGATACATATAAAAACCATTTCCAGTATAAAGCTCTTTGAACTCACAAAGAAAATCAAAAAGTAATATTACATGATCACTACAGCCCAAAGAAGGTAAGTATTCAATATTGTTAATATTGGATTCACACAAGGTAAGAATTAAGTCCAACACATTACTAATCTGGTCATTTCTACATCTCGTAAACTGTGTTACATGCTGAAATAAGTAGTTATCACGTATACACTCAATAAATTTATATTCATGATGACCTTCACTATGGGGGGTACTATATGTTTCCCAATCAATATCTTTCATGTTGAAATCTCCAGTTACAAGTAGATTAGAACTAATTCTAGTTGCTTCCTTTAACATGTTATTTATAATATCACATGCATCTATATTAGAAGGGCTTCTATAAATACAGCCAACAAGTACAGTTTTTTCTTCAATAGACCAGTCACACCAAGATGCATCATTATACATAGAATTAAGTTGTTCATTAGCAGAAACATTTAGATCATTCCTCGCATATATATTCACCCCTCTACCATGGTCTGAGCTAGGAAACAATGTATAACCTTCAAGTTTATATAATAATGAAGAACATGTTAAATTGTCCACGTTATATTTCGGTAGTACTTCAGTCACAAATATAAAGTCCGGTTTAATACTAGTCACAAGTATTTGAAGCTCATTCAATTTATTTTGCAATTGGTCAGCATTTGTATAAATACATTTGCACTTCTTGATTTGGGTTTCAATAATATTGTTATTGTTATTTTCAGAAATAATATCATCATTGTTTTCCGAAATTACATCACCATTTGTCCTTACTGTAAAGTCACTTGTGTTTTCACTACATACAGATGTCGAACAAGAGGTAGCGTCATCAGGTTCTGAAATCTGTACATTTCTATTATCATCAATGCTTTCAGAAACATTTTCAAATAAACAGTCATCTGTATAATTTACAGTTTCATAAACACTGTCTGTATTTTTGAGATCAACAAAACCTTTCTTCTTAGAAACTGATTCATAATCTTCTTCTTCTTCTTCTTCCAATATAGTACAGACACCTTCCGGCGTATACTCGTACTAGCGCAGCGCGGTGTGAGAAGTGTCTATGTACAAGAGTGATTTAAAAAAGTACTATGTATAGTGCTGGTAAAAAGGTAAAAACACCGGACTGTCTATCGGAGAGTGAGTGGGAGTACTTCCCTCTTGAAGCTGTCTATGGTTGTACAGCTTACAACTGTCTGGGGAAGACTGTTCCAGAGGCGGATGGTGTCTGGGAAGAAGGATCGCTGGTAGCACTGGGTCCTTGCAAATGGTACCAGGTAGTGAAGTCCATGTCCTCGAACAGAGATGACTGGGGTGAGGTTGGATGTAGGGACTTCTACTAGGCCATTTACTATATGGTACATCATGGTCACCTTGGCATGGGCTCTGCGTTCTCGGAGGGTAGGCCACTGTAGGTGTTGCAGCATCGATGTCACACTGCTGGTTCTTCTGTAGTCTGAGAAGACCATTCTTGCTGCTCGGCGCTGCACCATCTCCAGTTTCCAGATATTTGCCTCAGTGAAAGGGTCCCAGATGATAGAGGAGTATTCCACCAGAGGTCTCACGAGGGTCATATAGCAGAGCTCTTTGGTCCTTCTTGGGCATTGATTGATGTTTCTCTGTAGAAAGGATGTGGCATTGTTGGCTTTCTTTGTAGTTAGATCAATGTGATGGTTCCAGTTTAGTGACTTTTGGAAGTTGAGGCCTAAATATTTTGCTGTATCTACTTCTTCTAAGATGTGTCCATGGATGTTATATGGTTGTCTGATTGGTTTTCTCTTGTTTGTTATGTGGAGTATCTGGCATTTTTGAGGGTGGAATTCCATCAACCAATCCCTTTCCCATCTTTTTAGTCCATCTAGGTCTTTTTGTAGGGCTATAGCATCTTGGTCTGAGTGGATAGAGCGGTAAAGGGCACAGTCGTCAGCAAACATTCTAGTGGTGGATTCAGGTGATACATAGTTGGGTAGATCATTAATGAAGATGAGAAATAAGAGAGGTCCTAGAACACTGCCTTGTGGGACACCTGACTGGACAGGTGCTTCACCTGATTTGCTGCCGTCTAGTAACACTCTCTGGCTCCGATCCCCTAGGAAGCTGTTTATCCACTTTAGTAGGTTGTTTCGTATACCATAGAATTGAAGTTTTGTAAGTAATCGGTGGTGTGGGACCTTGTCGAAAGCTTTGGAAAAATCTAATAAAATGACATCAGTCTGACCAGCAGAGTCCATATTGCAAGCAAGGTCCTGGACTGTCAGTAAAAGTTGAGTCTCACAGGATCTGCGTTTACGAAATCCATGCTGGGCATCTGTAAGTATGTTGTAGGTGTCAAGGTGTTTCATAATGGTGCTTGTAACGATGTGCTCAAGTGCCTTACATGCTATGGAAGTAAGAGAGACAGGTCTGTAGTTCTCTGCTTTACTGCGGTCGCCCTTCTTGAAAATTGGTACCACGTTGGCAGTTTTCCAGTCGTCAGGGATGATTCCTTGGTCCACAGATGCCTGGAAGAACAGTGTAAATACAGGAGTAAGTTCTGTAGCTGCTTCCTTTAGAAGTCTTGCTGGGAGTTGATCTGGACCTGTAGCCTTGTGTGGATTAAGTCCTGCAAAGATCTTCTGTACTCCGCTCTCTGTGATTGTAATATGTTCAACCGGATCATGTGGGCTTGGTCCCATATCAGGAATAGTTGAGATGTCTTCATCCTTGATGAAAACTGAAGAGAACTGCTCATTCAGGATATTGGCCTTTGTGTCGCTGTCGGAGTGAGTCATGCCCGTTTTTGCTTTCAGTGGTGCTACTCCCTGACTATCTGTTTTCTTACTTTTAATGAAACTGTAGAACCTTTTGGGATTAGAGGCAGACTCTGGACTCATGTCCCTTAAAGATACAATAGAATTCTATATATTTTTTAATTGTTTTTTTATTTGATTTTCTTTTAAATATACACGTGTAGTCTATAGCCGGGCAAGCCAAAGCCCGGACCCGCTTCGCGGGCCCGGTCTTTGACTTCCCCGTATAAACTGATAAGTTTACAGGTAGACTCTAGTCTAGATCATTATACGGGGAAGTCAAAGGCCGGGCCCGCGAAGCGGGTCCGGGCTTTGGCTTGCCCGGCTATAGACTACACATGTATATTTAAAAGAAAATCACATAAAAAACAATTAAAAATATATAAAATTCTATACCTATCAAAGAAATTTTCAGTGTCAGTTCTAGTCGGGCGCCGCCATTTACAATGTAACTCAATGATAAATGGCGGGGTATTCCGATAACGGAACAAATCTCCACTTTTCGGATAAAGATAATCGCCGAGTGTTCCGAATGAAAACGGAAGCGGTACATGTAATACCGAATGACACCTTTAAAACGGAAAGAATGAAAGGAATTTTTAACGACTTCCCCGTCCATAGGCTTTGCCTAATTTCATATTAGGAGTTTTAAAAATTACAATTTTTGATTCAGAGCATTCTGTCCCTGCGGTTGGAAATCACTGACAATAATTCCCAGCTGTCTTGTATTTTCTATAAATCTTTCCAACTGCTCCTCAAGGTTTTCAAACCTGTCTGCCATTGTTAAAACTATCAGGGAAACAAAAATTTTTTTTATAAATTCATCCTGGGTGAAATTAGTGTAAACACCGTTATGCTTGATTTCATTTTATATTATTTAAAATACGTTTTATCGAACGCTTTGTGCATAATTAGTGCCAGTTTCATTATAATAATGTTGTTATATGATATATATGAATTTAACATTTAATTGACAGTTCACAGTGGCATATGGGTATTTATAAAGTGTTTGCGTTTTTCTAAAACATAAATGAACAACGAAGTTAATAATATGTTCTTGGATTATAATCAAAGAAGCTGTGTAAAGGGAAATCACTCTGTTATCAAGTTGTCATTGCTTATAAGTTTTTTCTTATTTTGTTCAGAAACACTAAAAATATGCTTTTGACAGTTGATTAACTTTTATCTCAATTTAATATTTAAACATGTTAAGCGAAGATCTTTAAGTGACATTTATTTTTTACCAAGTTTTCACCTTGGGAACATAGATTGAAAATGGCCCTTACTTGCATAAACATTGCAAGGCTTGCCACCAAACACAGGGTTGTTTTTATGCTGGACAGAAGTTATCTCCGAATTAATCAGAGCAAATCATCACCTTCTCTTTGGTTTGTTCAGTTTAAATCAACTGATTCAAAATCTGGCAAAGCAGATTCTGACAAATCAAAATCTGGCAATGAGTTAGATGTAGCCAGGGAAAATCCATATGCAGGGCTGACATTTGGACAGAAAGGTGAAATCATAATCTGACTGATATTGAATTTCAAACATTAAAGTATTCACATGAGTTTGAAAATCTAGTAAAATGCACTTTTCCAGTACTTACTTTCTGTACATTCCATACAATAGGTTTAGAGAATTCCCCAAAACAGCATGTATAAGAGCAATTGAGTATTTGAAAATTTAATAATAGCAATCAATTCAGTACCTTATTTTTAGAAAAGGAAATGTCTGACTTTCAAATGAAACATTTTACTTTTTTTCGTCTAACCAGGGAATTGAATTAAAAAACAACTGCATTTAATTAATTAGTTTTCTTTACTTTTTTTTGGATTATAAAAACCTGTTAAGACTATAAGATATCGCCAAACAATAGTCCAAAATGACTTGTTTTTTCCAAAGCCCTAAATTCTTTAAACTTTCAATTTTAGATATTTTCCATGTTTCTCCTAAAAACAACATATTATTACATTACAGACCATTATATAGTAAAAAGTTCAATTTGAAACCTGGTCAGACAAGCTAATAGAGAAAATATTGTCAAACGTTGAATAAATTTCTATTTGCAGTGAAAGAAGTGGGGAAGGATGTTTCTTATTTGGGAATTTCACTGGTTGCAATTGGAGTATTAGGTATCACATGTTTTTTTATTCTTTGATATGCTTATCTTACAAAACAAGAAAACAATAAAATTTTAAGTATTAATTTCATTTTAAACAACATGATTGTTTGGTATTACATCTTTGAGGTCTTAAATATGTGGCTACCATTAGCTTTAATTGCTTGATTCAGCCAAAGGTTCTTTTCTTAAAGTTTCATCCACATTTCCTTTGAAGAAGTTTCTTTTAAATTGCACAGATACAAAACTTGTATTACATTGCAATATACTGTAAAATCAATTTTTTGCGAAGGTATAATGTTTGCTAATTTCATAATTTAGAAGTTTTTGTAAAAATAAATGTTCACTAGATTTTTACCATTTGAATTTACCAGTACTGAAAGTAAAAGTTCGCAAATATTTAACAATGCCAAGAAGTCTGAAATGTTGATTTCTCAGATTTTGTACCTTGTGAAAATATCAGTTTTTACAGTAAATGGATTAAACTTTACATGTGTTTCAGTTTCTCTCTTTTGCAATTACCTAGATAAACTGTACTAGATAGAAAAGAATATATTTACTTTAATCAAAGTTAAATGTATTCATTAAATTTTTAGTTGCAGTAAATATGTACCTGTATGTAATAAAAGTTTCATTGTTTTTTAGGGGCAATGATTTACTTCATTGGTAGAGAACTATTTTCTGGTGAGAGTTCAAATGGCGTCTATACTAAAGCTTTTAAAAGATGTGTCAACGACTCTGAGGTATTTATCTTTATTGTGTTGGTTTTTTTTTTTTCAGTTAGATCTAGGTCCAAGAATTATATAAATTTTAGACCAGTGCAAGCCTTTCAATGTCTATTCTAGGATTTGAATAACAGGCGATTTTTATTGAAAAGTGAGAATTTATTTCATTTGTTTATCTTTTTCCTTCTTTCTCTATGTAAATTTTTTCCCCTGCCTCTGAAAAAATAGGGGGGAGTTCTCAAAAATATGAGTGAATCCCCCCATCCCTGTCCTAGAATAGACACTGGACTTTACCTTTTTGCTTTGAGGTGGAAAGAAATTTTGAGTAACCACAGCTGTGGGTTCAGTCCTGCTTGTGACTCTGAATTCTTTCATGAGCGGAAGCAAAACCAACCAATCTAACTTACAGCACATTGGAGATTCTACTCCGATACCTGTTCATGCCTGAAATAATTCTTAAAGGAGCACTGGAGGTCTTGCTTCACCAGTAAAGCTGGAAAGTCGCTATATGACCTACACAGTGTTGGTGCAACATAAAACCAAACCAAAAAAACAAGGTAAAAAAACTGGAACTCAGAAGCAGGCAGAATAATGTGATGCTTAAGCCTCGACTTTTTAGCTCACCTGTCACAAAGTGACAGGGTGAGCTTTTGTGATCGCTTTTCGTCCGGCGTCCGTCCGTCCATCGTCCGACCGTCGTCCGTCCGTCCGGCGTCCGTCCGTAAACTTTTACTTTAAATGACATCTCCTCATAAACCACTAAGCCAATTTCATCCAAACTTCACAGGAATGTTCCTTTGGTGGTCACCTTTAAAAATTGTTCAAAGAATTTAATTCCATGCAGAACTCTGGTTGCCATGGCAACCAAAAGAAAAAACTTTAAATATCTTCTTTTAAAAAACCCAAAGAGCTAGAGCTTAGATATTTGGCATGAAACATCTTCTAGTGAGTGTCTACCAAGTTTGTTCAAATAAAAGCCCTGGGGTCAAAATTGGCACCGCCCCAGGGGGTCATTGATTTTCCCTATATGCATATAGTAAAAACTTAAAAAATCTTCTTTTAAAGGACCCAGAGAGCTAAAGCTAAGATATTTAGCATGAAACATCTTCTAATGGGTGTCTACCAAGTTTGTTCAAATAAAAGCCCTGGGGTCAAAATTGGCCCCGCCCCAGGGGGTCATTGATTTTCCCTATATGCATATAGTAAAAACTTAAAAAATCTTCTTTTAAAGAACCCAAAGAGCTAGAGCTAAGATATTTAGCATGAAACATCTTCTAATGGGTGTCTACCAAGTTTGTTCAAATAAAAGCCCTGGGGTCAAAATTGGCCCCGCCCCAGGGGGTCATTGATTTTCCCTATATGCATATAGTAAAAACTTAAAAAATCTTTTCTAAAAAACCCAAAGAGCTAGAGCTTAGATATTTGGCATGAAACATCTTCTAATGAATGTCTACCAAGTTTGTTCAAATAAAAGCCCTGGGGTCAAAAGTGGCCCCGCCCCAGGGGGTCATTGATTTTCCCTATATGCATATAGTAAAAACTTAAAAAATCTTCTTTTAAAGAACCCAAAGAGCTAGAGCTAAGATATTTAGCATGAAACATCTTCTAATGGGTGTCTACCAAGTTTGTTCAAATAAAAGCCCTGAGGTCAAAATTGGCCCGCCCCAGGGGTGTCATTGTTTTTAACTATATGTGTATAGTAAAAACTTAAAAAATCTTCTTTTAAAAAACCCAATGAGCTAGAGGTTAGATTTTAAGCAGGAAACATCTTTTTGTTGGTGTCTACCAAGTTTGTCCAAATAAAAGCCCTTGGGTTTAAATTGGCCCTGCCAAAGGGGGGGGGGGGGGTGGAGGTCATTGTTTTTTATTATATGTGTGTAGTAAAAAACTTAACATTATGAAACATCTTCTAATGGGTGTCTTCCAAGTTTGCTCAAATAAAAGCCCTGGGGTTTAAACCGGCCCCGCTCCGGGGGCCTATATACAGGTGAGCGACCTCAGGGCCATCATGGCCCTCTTGTTATGAGTTCTGTCTTGAATCTCAAGATTTTTATCAGGCAATATGCATTATCTGCTGGTTTCTGACCAATCAAATACCTGAGAATTGAATTAAGTTTACAAAAATACTTTATAATTTTGAACCTTGCAGGCATGTAGACTGGACTGTTTTTATACTGGTAGCCTGTTAGTATGTCACTATAGCTACTAGTATTTAACCAACAACACATCTATAGTCACAAAATATGTTATGGTTGATCCAGTTCTACTAACTTGTAGTTCAGAATTTTGTTAAAGGTCCAACTCTCAATTATTACTTGTTTCACTTTAAATATTAACTTTCTTTTCTTGATTTCTGTCTTTAATATCAAAGAAAGACATGGCAGATTGCATAATTATTTCTGTTGTTCTTAAATGTTAAGTTTTGAAAAAATAACACTAAATGTCTATGTTTCTTTTATACCAAAAGCATTGTATATGGTATGTTTCTCCTGCAGGTCATAGTAGCATTAGGTGAGCCTATAAAATGTTTCGGTGAGGAGACTAGGAGGGGTAGAAGACGACATGTTAGGTAAATATACATAGATTATACAACCTTTAATCATGTTTTCCTGAAGTTGTCTGTAAAAATAAAAAATTGTTTTCAGTAAATATTTGGCGGCCAAGCAAAATTTAGGAAGATTCCACTTGTCAATTTAAAATTTTTGAAAACTTCAGATATATGGCTTTACATTGATGCAACTTTTGTCCATAGACCCTTTTTGCACACACAAGGTCTATAGGTTCTTATAGACTGTATTTCAATTATTTCTATAGAAATTTGAAAAGTGGGTGAAAGCTAGAGCTTATATATTTTGCATGAAACAGCTTCTAATGGGTGTTAACCAATATCAATGGAGATAGGTGTTCACTCTTACAGAATAATTTTCAAATCAGGAATCGATGTAGAAAGATTTGCCAAATTTTCTTTTCTAAAGTAAATTTATTTTGATTTTAATAT